GAGTGGATAAAGAACATGTGGAAGAATACATGATGGAATACTACTCAGCCATAAAAAAGAATTTTTGCCATTTGCAGCAACATGGATGGACTTGAAGGGCATTATGCTAAGTGAAATAAGTCAGAGAGAGAAATACAAATACTGTGTATCACTTATATGTGGAATCCAAAAAAATACAACAAAATAGTGAATAAAACAAAAAAGGAACAAACTTATAGATAAAGAGAACAAATTATTGGTTACCAGTGGGTAGAGGGAAGGGGGAGGAGCAGCAGAGGAGTAGGGGGGAAAAGGGTTATTATGGGATTGTATGAAATCATGTGGGTGAAACTTTTGAAAATTGTAAAGCACTATAGAATTTAAAGAATCATTCAATTAAAAAAGTGACATACTTCTGTGTAATTCTACATGACCATAAATTTGTATGCCTCAGCTAGTATGGAATAATAAAATTCGTTCTGGAAAAAATATAGTAAATTAAATGAAAAAATAACAAGTCCCACAATGAAAACTCTAGAGACCTTAAGGCTTGTTAAGGACAACCCTTTGGGGTCTTACTCATAATGAGAAAACCAAATCTAAAGAGGTAAAGTGAGATTCTGGATAGAGCAAACTGCAATAGTCCACTTCTTCCACTGTAATCAATCAATCAATCAATCAATCAATCAATAAAATTGAAGAGCTTTGAGAGAAGTGAAAATCAGATTTTTTTTAATTCAAAAAAAGAAAGAGCTTTTCCAAAGTAACCTAACAATCAAAGAACATTTTCTTTTCTGGGGGAATTGGTTGATTCTAAGCATAAGCTGAGGTTCTGACAAACCAAAACAGTCAACAAAACTTCTGGTGTTCATGTGAGTCTGGTATAATGGACTGGAAAATAGAAAAGGCCCAATTGCAAGGCCTTTGTAATGTTCTGGGATAGCTCAGGAGGCTGGAGACCAGGATGGAAAGGCAGAGTAAAGTCTCCAGCAGTATCATAGTGATTAGGAGATAAAATCCTGCTGGAAGAAAGGAACTGATCACAAACACAAGACTGGTTTCCCCTAAGGACTTTGCCATATTTTGAGGCTGCCTGGCATAGAAAGCTAAAGAGTTGACCTTGAAACCTTGGAATGTCAACCCATCAAGAACATAGGTACAAACATTCTAAACAAAATACATGGTCAATTAAATCCAAGAATATATAAAAAGGTTAAAAAATCATGACCAAATGAGGTCTACCCAAAACCTAAGCTAACTTGAAATGAAAGTTAATTTAATATTCAAAACAGCTAATATAATTTACCACAGTAACAAAAATAAAGGAGAAAAAATGTGTGAATATATCAAAAATGCAGAAAGAGTTTTAGCAAAATTCAACAACCATCTGTGATAGAAACTTCTGAGCAAACTAGTAACAGAATCTACAATCTGATAAAAGGTAATTCCATAAAACCTAAAGCTAACATCATAATTAATGGTGAAATATTTCATGCTTTCCCCTGAATTCAGGGCCAACATAAGATGTTCACTTTCCCACTTCCATTCAACATTACATCAGAGGTCTTAGCCAGTGTATTGTCAGGAAAACAAAAAGAAAGTTCTAAAATCCAGAATAAAAAGAATAATGCAATGCTTGTGTTTATAGAAAATCCAGAAGAATCTACAAACAGAATGTTAGAATGAGAAAGTGAATTAACGAGGTCACTGAATACAAGGTAAATATACAAAAAAATCAAAAAAAGTTGGAGTTATCAGTATAAACTCACGTTTAGCTTAATATAAATGCAGATGATTACATACAGAAATATTTAGAGAAATATATATATAATATACACACATATATTTCCTTGCTGTGTCAGCTGAGAGGACCTAGAAGCAACAACACACTAGCACAACAAGCACCTAGATCTTGGTTTCTGATAAAAGGAACCAGGGGTCCTTGGAGAAATGGCTGATTCTAGGGCTGGGAGAAATATACAAGATAAGCCTAGGGCATCTTGTCGCACCAGAGATTAAGGAAGTCTTCCATGCTTCACCAAACTAATAATAATGATAATGATAATGATAATGATAATGAATAAT